ATTCTAGTTGTCCGACTGTGGAGAACACTTGTGCCAGCAGGCACCTGCTGGGGTAACAGCAAAAGGTATGTCTGGCACTGATTAATTTACCAGTTTCTTGTCTGGTTTTACTGGCACTTACAGAAAACATGGACATGGTTGATAAGCAAACTGAGTGCATTTTGATTGAAACTAATTAATTTATAATTCTAAAGTTTTCCATATTCTTACAAAGACCTTAAAACAAGAAATGCTGTGAATATTAACATGTATTTGACATAACATTTTATGTGCATTTCCTCAGGACTGACAAAGAAGTTGGAGGTATGGACGAAGCTCATGATCAGATAATCTGGGACCTGGCCTGGCATCCAATGGGTCATATCTTAGTATCCGGATCCAACGATCACAGCACGTATGTTGACCTCCGAAGAAAACAAAAGTTTCGCTCAGTTTCAAAACCTTTGACTCTTCTCTGTTTCTTAATTTTCAAATTTTCATATTTGCCCGCTTGTTGGATAAGTGCTACTTTGGTATGGAGATTTCATCAAACCATCTTTAGTTAAAGAAAGACCTTCTCCCTTTTCATATGCTGTGATACATGTTCAGGTTCATCACATAGGATTGTTATCTGGTAGCTTTGCCTGTGATCTTTTGATCTTGTGATATTGTGATATTGGAAATGGCTCAAACCAAATTTGGCTTTGTTCTTTCAGTAAATTCTGGACCAGGAATAGGCCGGGAGACCACATGAGGGACAAGTACAATCTGAATACATTGCCAGTAGGGATGGGAGAAGATGTTGATTATGGTAGGTTTTCCAAAGGAGCTTTTCTTGCAAAGCAGTGCCACCTAGCATAGTGATTACCCGTTTTAGAGATCTGGTATAATTAGATTTCAGTACAGGTTCCAAAGGCTCAAACAGACTTGAGTGAAGTAACCAATGTCATTAAATGCCTGTACCACCCACAAAATATGTATTTTTAAAAAAATATTTCAGATGACATACAGTCCATTGCCAAGATTCCGGGCATGGGACTAGAATATGGAGTTGCTGAACATCTCAAGCCTAAACGTAAGTAAAATATTGAATTCTTCAAAAAATTGGTAATTGAAATGAAAAACAAATGAATATAGCTATGTCAAAATTTATCATCAAGATAAGAAATAAATTCCTCTCCTCTCTCCCCCCCTTCCCTTTTTTAGCCCCTGAGGAAGTAGTGTCAAAATTGATCATTAAGATGAGAAATAAATCTACCTCCTCTCACCTCCCCTCTTCCCTTTTTTTTAGCCCCTGAGGAAGCCATGCCCTCCATCCCAGGATTGGATTGGAAGGAGGAACAGCAGAGTGCCATCAACAGGCATCATGCCATGCAACAGCAACAAATGGCCAGCAGGAGAAAACATCCCCAGACACACGCCGTCCCTAAGAAATTTGAGCAGGCTTGGGAGACCAATGTGAACACCCCTGTGGTGGCAGTATCACCTGCCCCGCCAGAGAAGGCAGCACCCACTCCCACAGAAGGACGTAAGTAGCATTATATTTTGTTATGTCACTTTTAGCCAAAGTGAATCTCTGTAAGAATTTGACACAAGAAAAAATTCAGTTATCGAAATTTCTTTTTTTGGGGTATATGATAATTTTCTAGTATTCTAGGAAGTCCCAGCTCCAAATATGCCCTTCACTTAGGTCATGCCAGATGAAGAACTACTGTAACATGTCTTTCTTACAATTTGACTTGGTGCAATCTGTCTCAACTGCTGATCAGTCTTTCAGGTTGCCAATACTACTTAGTAGACCTTTGATGAATATGACTTCGGGTTTGTTTTCCTTTCATTGACTGTACTATTGTATAACTGGAATTAACCCTTTCCTTCTGTCCATCAGGTCCACCCAGTCTACTGGATATGAATGTCCATGGTCCTCAAAATGGTCCCACAACGCAGGAGACGCCGTCCAGGTTGGCTGGTCAGTAAATGTTCTTTATGCCCTAGTCATACTCATTAAGCACACAAGGCACTCATAAATACTGTTTATGCCCTTGCCAAACTGTTCAAGCCCACAGTTTAGATGCACAAGGATGTGGTTGATAAGCAAATTGTAAATGTTTATACCGTAGCCATATCATTCAAGCCCACAACGAACATGAGGTCCACAAGGCACTCAGGAATTTTATTTATGCCCTAGTCAAACTGTGTAAGCCCACCGCTAACATCAGGTTTGTGCCATAATCATACTGTTTAGGCCCACTGTGAGCTTCATCTACAGGGGGCAATTTCTTTGTTCTGGAATTGCATACTGCTATGAAATATTACATCGTTGGGTATGGATTTTCATGCTACTTTGACCTTGTCAAAAACTTCCGACTTTTAGAACCTACACAATATGTGCTTTATTCAGAAAAACAAAATATAATGGCCAGGGGAGCCTATAAGTAGCCATTTCATTCCAGGTCCTGCAGGTTTGACATCACCCACAGGAGGGGCACTCACCCCCTCAGGCCACCCCCCAGGAACTATGGGAGGACCATCCCATGTAGGACCAAATGGGGAACCAGGAATGGATAACAGGGGGTACCCCCCAGGGAATCATCATCCTGGACCACGCCCTCTTGGACCACGCCTACCTGGACCCAGGGGGAGACCAGGTATAGAGATGAAAAAAAATAAAAAAACTTAAACATTAGCTTATTTTTTGCTTTTTCATTGACTTTGTTAAAGATGGTCAAAAAAATTGACTATTTGAAAGTGTTTATTACAAGTGAAAAATAGCTATAATATATATACTACCTAATATAAATATCTAAAATGACATGCAACAGGGAGATCTTGTATATACACTTTTCTTAAATGCCCCTATGTGATAATTTTATTGGTTCACCACCATGTTTTCAGGTGAACCGAGGCCTCTTTTTCATGGCCAAGAAGGCCCACCCCCACGGCAACTTAGACCCAGGGGAGGTGGCCTGTTAGGGGATGCCCCTCCTAGTCTCATGGAGCCTCAGGAAGAGGAATATGGTGAGGAATATTATGGTGAAGACGACGGCAGTGGGTACATGGAGGAGTATGGTGGGTACGAGGAAGAACAAGGGTACGAGGATGAGACTGCTGAATATTACCCAGAGGAGGAGCAGTATGAGGAAGACTATGAGCAGGGATATTACCCGGGGCCAAGGCACTATGAAATGGGCCCTGGTGGTGGCAGAGGGAGGCCAGATTATCGAGGTCGAGGTAGGCCTTTGAGGGGCAGAGGAGGCCCCCCAGAAAGGGGCTATAGAGGCTCCCCTAATGGCCCCCCAAGGCGTGGGAGAGGAGGATACATGCACCATGATGAGGATGAACAGTATGACAGGCGTGACAGGCCCCCCAGTAGAGGGGGCTACATGTCACAACATGGCGATCCCAGTGAAATGGGCGTGGGAAGGAAAAGAACCTGGGAGGAAGGCCCAGGCGAGGAAATGGGATCGTATGGACCCCCCAGGGGCAGGGGTGGCAGAGGAATGCCCCGAGGTCTTTTGGGTGGACCCCCAGGTAGAGGTGGACCCCCAGGAGGCCGAGGGGGGCCACCACCACCGGGTAGAGGGGGTCCTCCACGTGGCAGGGGTCTTCCCCCTGGGAGAGGTGGGCCGCCGGGTCGTGGAGGGCCTCCCCGAGGACAGTGGAGAGGTGGGAGAGGGTATTGAGAGGTCAAGGAAAGGAATTTGGTTTGTTTAAAGGTGAATTTGACACTGAGCAGGATCTGGAAAATAGCTGCAGTGGTGACTGGAGATATGAGACACTCATGAATGCTAAGACAGCGGTGATAGGCACTTAGAGAAATGCCTGTGGTACGTGGGAGATAAACAGAGTTGTACAATTCAGAGCAGATATGCAATATACAAAGATTTTTTCAAACTTTTCTGGTTCTTCAGACACTGATGGACCTAAGCTTATTGGCCATTTAATAAAAGTATTGAGCTGGACTTCCGTTTTTGTGTTGTGAAGTGATGGCCATCTTCACAGTGTTCTCCAGAAATGTCTTTCCCCATACTTTCTATTTATTTGAATTTTCTTATGTATTAGTTTAAGAGTTAAGACAGACTAAAACGGACCTTAAGTGGAGTTTGTACCATTAAGAGCCACTGTGCGAGATCTTAATTTTTTTCTTTGCTGTGTGTTGTTACTTGCTAATCAAATTTTGACACTTATGATTTGACTTCTTTTTCTTTATTAGTAAAATCTTTCTTTAATGCAATTGAAAGTCAACAAACAGGTGTTTACAAATCTAAATATTCTTATTATTTACAAATCAATTTGAGGTAAAATATGGTGGCTAGGAATATTTGTTCTAGTAATTTCAAACTGGATCGTCATACTGTAAGCCTTCAAGTCAAAGTAGATGTAAAATGGGGCTTATTTAAGACTGAGGCTTCAATGCCTAAGACTCTAATGTGAAATGTTATCATAAAATCTATTGTAAAGTGTAAATGTCGAAGAATGTTTGTACCATATTCACTTGATGAAATAAGGGGAATGATACTGACGGCTGTGTATGTAAAATTATGAAAAAGTTTGTAAATATAATTATGGACATGTATGTCACCTTACTGAAATATATTTAGCTATGCTTATCTTTGTTCCGAGTCATGAAAATGAGGTAAATTGTAGTGGAAGAAAGCTTGTTTTCACATGTAAAGCTGTTTTCCATAACAAATAATATTGTAAAATGTAATATTTTCCAATGTTTAAAAATGCAGTAAAATATCATTATTATAAAAAGTGTTCTTCATTTTGTTGTTAGTTTGTTTTTTCAAATATAAGAACACGTGAAGTGAAAGTGGCTTTTCAGGCCCTGCTTTTTAAGAATATTTAAAGAGAAAATTAAGGTGAGAATAACTGATTTTGATTCTGAAGCAAAAGCACGGGTACAGTTGACCATTGATCATCCCAAACGAGCTGTATATATGCAGCTTCACAAAATAAGGCATTGGCTTGTCTTGAAGTGAAAATTAGGTCAGCCAATCAAATCTCAGAATTTTGTGTTTGTTTCAAAATGGCTGAGATAGGTGGAAAATTCAACTTTTGAAAGGTAAAAATTTGAAATAAGTCATCGTGTGCAGACGTATTTGGATATTTAATAACAAATTCTAGGAAAAGGCACATTCTTCATTTTACACACAGTGGGTTATAGCTCTTAACCAATGATTGGCTGATTTGACAAAACTAGTTGTTCTCGTTTTCTGTTGTTACTTGCTTAAACTACAACCGACTGTCAGATTCTCACACTCGGACTCTTTATATCTATTTTATTTTTATGCTAATTAAGAACGGGATTATAGTATGGGAGGTGGAATCAGAAGCATATGAGTTCCAATACTTGCAGGTTACTGGCACGTCCTGAATATACTGAATGTTCAGAATATAGTCATAGAGAGTTCTGTTTTACATTAAGTTTACAGGACTCCATTTCCAATGAACGAGCGTAACAAATACTAGTAAAGGTGCATGACATACTCAGACTATGTCCTATGCAGCCATTCCTCCCATGCCCTTGGCTCATGACTCCCCACCGCAGCAGACTTTGGATGTCTTATCACAACGTCTTCAAGCTGCAGAGGAGGATGCCAAGGGGTTGGTCTCTGTTCTGAGAGAAATGGGAATGAATCCAAATCCAAACAGAGACCACAGGGGGGAGAGGGTGTCACCTTACACCCCGAGGATGGCAGATCCTGATATATTGCACAGGTTGGTAGATTAAGAGATTTTTTGTATTTTTGGCAAACTGAACACAAAATGTTAAACTATGATGATTTCATTTAAAAAGAAATATGTGTATGGCCCAGTATGGGTATAACATATTTTTCTCTAGGTATAAGATAACAAGTCTAATAAATTAGGGGAGATAGGAATTTATTGATATTCTTTGAAAAAATTTTAAAATTTAGATTTGGAAAGTTACATATTGAAATAGTAGGAAACATTTTTTTTCCAGAAATTATGAAACACTTGTAAGCAGGGTTTGCAAGTTAGAGAGCATCATTCAGTCCTTGAGGTTGAACATCTGCACCCTGCAGGCAGAGGTTGATTTGAGGAAGAAGGAGACCATTGTCACAGGTAGAATTGAGCGTCAGATAAGTGAACAGTCGCAGAAATGGTGTAGTTCTGTTATGCTTGACATGAGTTTTTTTCTTTTGCTGTGTTTTGAAACGCTGAATATATTAGATTGTTTACTGAAAAGCTGTTTTCTTGATACTTGATGATTGGAAAGAATTCATATTTTATTATTATTATTATTAATTTCTTCTTATCATTTATTTTTCATTATAATTATTTTATGCCAAATTTTGATTTTGCAGAGGAGAAGCTAGCTCAGTTAAATGAAGTGAATGAACGGGAATTGAAAAAACTTAACAGGGACTTGGGGAGATGTCGCAAGGAACTAAAAGAAGATAAGGAGGCCAGACTGCAGGCAGAGGAAGAAGTGAGGAGGTTGCAGGAGGCACTGGAGGTAGCTACCAGCACAAGGGTAAGTGAAGAGAGAGAGAGAAGGGGGAATGTGTGTGTGTGTGTGTGTGTGTGTGTGTGTGTGTGTGTGTGTGTGTGTGTGTTTGAGATACAGAGAGAGAGAGGAACATTATTATGCGGTGATTAAAAAGCCAATTTCAATGATGGATCACAGTGTGAGAGCATATGTAGCATCATTATTCACTGCAGAAAACAATTATTTATAAAAAATGAATTTTAAGTGTTTCAGTGGCCTTCTGCCATTGCCTTTGTTTTTTGTAACAATATGGACAAAATGAAACATGTAACAAAAGATTTTTGTATATTTGATTAAACCTCACAGGCTGACACAGCTAATAAAGTGGAAGATCTCAAGTCCACAAAACAGAAGCTCTCCAGGCAGCTGGCTGGACTGAGAGAAGAGCTTGCAAGGGAGCAGAATCTCCGCTCCAGTCTGGAGGAATCCCACAATACACTGCTCAGCAGGATACACCAGTTAGAGGAAGTGGTGGAAGCTGAGAGGGGTGAAGTAAGGCTCTAACTCTCATATCATTTATGCTTGACATTGTGTGTCTTTAACTTTTCAACCCTCTTTTGGACCTCAGTAACTAGTAGAAAAGTTTGAATCAGAATATACAAGCTAGATGATGAAATTTATACAGTAAAAGTAAATGTAAAACAGCCAGTTAAATAGTTAACACTTTTAATTCTTAAGACGAATATGTGTTTTAAAGGCAGAGAAATGTCCACAAATTGTTCCGCTTTGAGATTGGGTGAAGTCAGGGAAAGGCACAAGGAATAAGGGGATAATAAAGATTTCAATCACATTATGAAATATAAATGATAAATGATATTACCTTTGATAACATTTTTTCTTTGTGTAAGAGTAAAGAGACTGAAGATTACAAGGCAAGACAATTCAACAATTCAGTTAAGGCCTTGATGACATAACTGAATTATCAGTTTACTGTTTTGCCATTGCTATACGAGACACAGTGAAAAAAACTTGTTTCACCAAAACTTTTTCTTCTCTTTTCAGGTGAAAACCCTGTCCACAGACTGCTCAGTACTGAGACAGGATGGAGCCAGGGCGCGTCAACGTGCACAGGAGGACCACCAAGCTAGAATACAGCTAGAGGAGCAGCTTAAACTATACAGCATTGAATTAGGTATGGCATGATAAAAGATTTACTAAATATCCATCTAGACTTAACTTGGGAAGGGTAGGGGGGTGGTAAGGGGTGTTAAGCCAGATTATGGCTAGAGGAGCAGCTTTAGCTATACAGCATTGAATTAGGTGTAGCATGTTATAAGATTGACAAAATATTCATCTATTGTTATCTAATCTTATATATCTAAATCTAAAAACGGTATCACCATCAGTATTTACTATTCATTATTTACTATATTTTTTTTTATTTTCAGAAAGTAAAAAAGCTAAAATTCAGGCACTTGAAAATGAGAAAGGGCTGATGGTTGGAGAGATGGAGAAGATTAAGATTGGCTATGCAGACCTGAACAAACAACTGGAGGGCATGCAGCAGCTATTTGATGACCACAGGGTTAGTTATTAGAGGGATAGCAACTCTTTATATGAGATTTAAAATTCCACAATGAATACATAGTAAACAACATAATAAAATCCATTTTACCACCAAAACGGTGGTTATCACACTTATTCTCGAATCTGCACTTGCCATCGGACCACATGGACCTTAAAAGATTACTACAAAAAAATAATAATAAATAAATAATAATAATAATAATAGTTTAAAAAGATTAATTAACTGTTGGTAATTATGGGTACACTCGTGACATTGTATCTTTTCTATATTTCTCTACACCTTTTCGGTGTATGTACACTTGCGAACTTTTCTGTCTAGGTCTAATTTTTTCTAATACAGGATACCCACATACAGCTAGAACAAGAGAACAGTCAGCTGCACAAAGCTTTAATTTCGGCTTCAGAGGAAGCAGCCAACCTCAGGGAGCAGTTTGAACAGCAGATACAGGTAGGTATGACAAGGTTCAGGTAGGTGCGATAAGGTGCAGGTATGTGACAATTGCAGGTAGGTATGTCTAGGTTCTGGCATCCCATGTCCAAATATGATTATAACAAAAAGAGAAATACAGTTCATATAATTACTAAGAGACATGCAACTGCATTTGAACCTATAGGGGTATTGTGGATGACATCATGAGCAGCATCTAGACCTGGTTGGTTGGCAAGAAGAGCCCCAGTGTTGAGAAATAACACGTAACCTCAAAGGCAACGGTTTGTTGGAATTCCTCCAATATGTCATGGCACAGCCAATGGCAACTCATTTACTTTCCACAGAAAGGATCAATGTGCTCAAATAAAACTTATACGACTATTAAAAGGGTGAAATAACCAGTTAAAAGTTTTGTTCCTCTTCATCTTGGCCGCAGTGCACTTAACTGTGCATTTTGCCTTTTGGTACAGAGACCAGCCAATCTAAACTGAAGGATGTGCTTGCTCCTTACAGACACTTATAATGATTGGGTATTGAATGTGTTGATATTATAACTATGATATGTGTAGTATGTATTATTACAGACGGAGAGAGAAGAGTGGGAAGAAAAGTTTAAAGACCAGTCAGAAGTGGTATTTGTTAAAGAAGAACTGCGGAAGGAGAGGAAAGAAAAGGAGGAGTTGGAGGGAAGAAAGTTAGTGTCTTGAAACTAAAATGTGTGTCTAGACTTCAGACGTTAAAGTCTCCTGATTATTCCAGAAATCTGGACATTAGGATGTTGTATTTGTGTCAACTTCATCCCAAATGTGCAAAGGAATAGCATAAGTGCTTAGCTTACTATGCCCCTATTTTAATGTGCATTGGAAGGGTTACCAAATCAGGGCATAAGTAAGCTCAGTGCCTGTGCTATATTTTATGGGTACATTTGAGACGAATACAAGAAATATAGTCACCAGGTGCACATAAAGTTTTAAGTGTGCTGTGTGTAAAAGAGACAAAAATAGCAGAATTATCGATCTGCTCAACATATCTCATTTTTGGGAGTTATACCCCTTTGATTGTAGGGTCTTGTTTAATTTTGAATTCAACAAAGTATTTTTTTGGTGTGGTTTATTTCTTCACAGTGAGCAGCTTCGAAATCAGAACAAAGAACTGAAAAATGATCTGGACCAGCAGGCTAAGATAGCAGAAGAAGAAATGAAGAAGCTTCAAGGAAAAATGGAGAATCTACAGAAGACATTAGACAGCTTGGAAAACGAGAAAGATGGTGTGTTAAAAGATAAGGAAAATTTGTTGGAAGAGGTGAGGGGTTGCCCACTGAATTAAAATAAAAAAAAGGAACAAATAAAAATTGAAAATTGAATTTTTACTTTGCTACATTGACTTTAAATTGACTTTGTAAAAAAAAACACTGTATGCAGTTTTTTTGTTACCATGTCTGAATATTGCTACTAAAAATTAAATCTACTGATTTAACTGTTATTTATTTTCATGTCTGATCACTGTTTATGGTAATTAATAATGAATTGAATAGTGATTGAATTACTTTATTACCATTATTATAAGTTATATCGTGAATTATCAATGTCAGGTGATATTATTATTATTATTATTATTATTATTATTATTATTATTATAACACAGGTCAACCAGGCAGTGGATGGGATGGCTGAGGAGAGGACCAGACTGCAGGCAGAGCTACAACAGGCTCACCTAGAAATCAAGACACTAACACAGGCCAGCCATCAGCTGGAGCAAGAGAACACCAGGCTGATGGAGAGAATGGGGGCAGTGGAACAACAACAGGTACTGCAGTCGGGTTTTTGACCCATATAAATTGAAGGTTAAACTAACAGCCATTTTCCTTTTCTGTACAAGATTTTTTAAATATAACTATTGCTAAGATTTTAACTGTTAGTTTGTGTAACTTGGTTTTGCCCAGTTGAACTGAGGTCATTTTCAGCTTGGTATATTCAGTGCAAAAAGAAAAAAAACTATGGGGAGGCTGACATATTCCTTATTGCTGAAAGTTTCTTTATTCAACTTGAATCTTTTTATAAAAATATTGTTTATATGCATAAGTAGCAGAGAAACATGGATAATGGAGTGGCATGGCTTTAGTATTTGTAATAGTATACTAATAAGACATAGTGTAGTATGCTATGGTATGGCATTGTATGGATGTGGTATCAAACAATGTATTAAAACGCCTCTCTTTTCTGTTTTTATTCAGCAAGCCCAGCACCAAGTGGACCATGTTATTGCAGAGATGACGGAGCAGAAGAACAAGCTGGCCTACGAGAAGGGAAAGCTGCAGTCCAAACTGGAGCAGCTGCAGAGAGACATGGAGAGCTTGTCTGGCTCCAAGGCTGAGCTGGCGCAGCTCAGGAAGATTAACCAGGCTCTGGAGGGAAAATATACCAAGGTTTGTACTATTGTGTGTGCATGTGTGTGTTTGAGTGGTCAAGGGTGTGAGTGTGTCAGAGAGAAAAGAGTTAAAGATAAGTGGGAATAACATACAAACTGAAGGTCATTAGAGTTGCAGTTAGATCAAAGTGGGTTGAAATGGGAGAAGGCCCCAAAGAGTTTAGATTAAATTGAGGAAAATCAACCAGTTCTCAGTGAGAATCTGTGTGATGGTTGATAGGTTATAAATAAAAAAAACAGGTATTTGTACAAAGTACTTTATAAATTGAATTAAGATTTACAATTTATAAGACAACAAAATAGATGCCTAGAATATTTTCTGGCATTAAGAAAAGAAACATCGCATATTTTCTAAATCTTAAATGATGTTAAAAATTTTGCAATTTCAGGCACAGAATGACCTGGGCAATTGCAAAATCAGCCTCCAGAGACTAGAGAGTCAGCTGAAGCAGGTGTCTGCTGTGGGCCAGAGGAAGGAGGAGGACTTTGCTCTCGCCATCCAGGCCAGGGATGAGGCCATGAAGGAGACACAGAGACTGGCGGCACATATACAGGCACTGGAGGAAAGGGAGAGACAGAAGGTAAGAGATTTGACCTCATCTGCAAGATAGTTGTTATTCAATTCAATTCAAAAGGCCTTTTTTGATAAGGAGGGCTTGTTAGCTCTGATGAAAATGCTATCAGAGTTTTAACATGAGTAAAAGAGAAAGATAAGTTAACTCTGACAACGTTCTGTTTGAATTGAATTGAATTGATCAGGAAAAGAAACACACACACACATTCTGTTTGCAATTTCAATCTCTCTCACTCTCACACACACGCGCACACACACAATCATTCACATGGATTTCTTTTGTGAGTGCAGGGCTACAGCTTCCAGCAGAGCCTCTCTGATGCCAAGGAAGACAACAAGAAGATTGCAGCAACCCTGGAGAGTGTGGTGGCCTCCCACTCTCAGTTACAGAGAGCCATGGAGCACCTGCAGACAGAACTCGGCAAGAAAGATACACAAATTGTGCAACTCCGGAAAGAAAGGTAACATATACTGTGAGATTAAGATCAGGATATATTTATTTGAATGTGAAAAGGGTTCAGGGGTCATAATATCTTTGCAAGAATAATCACTGAATAACCAACAGATGGAAGAATTGTGAAACATTGTTGTGGTGCTGTATTCACTCTGCAGGAAATTATTTATAGCTTTCATCTTCAGACCATTATATTTTGATTCAGACTATCTTCCCTTTTTGTAAATTGTTTTACACTTATCTATAGTGTAGCACTTAGGCTGGTCCTTACAGTTTTGTTGGTGGGTGTGGTGGGGGGGGGAGGTTGCTTTGACAAGTCGACTTCCAACTGTTTAGACCAATCAAAGTTAATGTGGTCAGCCTGCATAGTTTGAATGAGAGCTCCATTTCGGTGACTCTCAAAGTTTATAACACCTGCATTATGGAGTTGTTAATTTCTAATAGTTTTTCAATACAGAAAATTGTAGCACTAAAAGGGTCTATGATTGATTCTCTGTTGTTTCAGGTCCCAGGTCCAGCAGGCCATGCATGGGATGCAGAAAGAGGTGGAGACACTTCAAGCCAGGCTTATTGCCATGGAAACACTTGAGTCCAATGAGGTGATAGTGAAAACGTTGCAGACTTATTTAATAATGAAATCCAACAAATTAATGTTAATTTTTGATGGGAAATATTGTTTGAAAAGACATTTGACAAAAAGTGTGTCCTTTCCACGAGCTTGCTTCCAGTTGTGTTCCTGTAGAGATGGTTATGAAATTAATAAAGAACAGAAAAAGCTAATTTCCAAAGCTCATATATAACCTCATTTTCAATTTGCATTGGTTTCTTAACATATTTGTTACTTGGCTTCAGATTGGTCCACTGAGAGAGGCTCTGGAGAAGTGTAAGAATGATAATATCAAGATGGCAAACTCCTTGGATGGCTTACTCTCATCAAACGGAAAGCTTCAGTCTACTGTGGAGAGGTTGCAGAATGAGGTGGAGAAAAAGAATTATCTGATGGAACAATTGAAGGAAGCCAGGTAAAGAATTTTGAATTATATTTAATGCTCTAAAGTCTGCTTTTCTAGAACTTTCTTATTCACTTTTGGCAAAATAAGAGAAATTTGTTTTCTTTTCTGATCCACTTAAAAAGAAAAACTTGATTTTATCAAGGCAGCCCTTTAGTTTTAAAACTGTGGCATTTTGAAAAAAAGAAAAAAACTATAAGGGAGGGGTACGGTATGATCAGTTTAAGAAAATTCTGCTATAATTTTGTGTGCTACTGTCACAAAAATCCATTTTGCAGGTCATTTAACAAAAACATTTTTCTTTAGGATTTATGAAGGAGAAACACCTTTCAGACAATCCTGATTTTAACATATCATACTTGCACAGGAAATCTTTATGATGCATTCCAGGGGTCAGGAGTTGGAAGAGAGAAAACAGGAGGTGCAGAGTTATGAAGAACGCCTGGATAACATGAGACAACAGTTGAGACAGGAGAGGGACAAAGCTGTGAAGAAAACCAACAAAGATATAACAGAGGTAGGTTACCTAGGATTTTTTTTAGGAAAAAAGTATTTACATGTATATGTTTTTATGTGTGTTGATATGTCTTTGTGTAAGAGAATATTTTTTTATTTGTGAAAGCAAGCTTTTTAGTTCATTTACAATGCCATAACCACTAGGGCATTTCAGTAGACTTTCCTTTGCTCTTAGCTAAGGTGTTTGCCTTTTTAACCCTTCTAAGTGTTTATTTTATATGCCAAATTATCTTTGTCCGGACCTAGGTAAGGAAGCAAAACGAGGAGCTAGTCAGCAAGAACGGTGAGCTGTCGCGCGCTAACCACGAGCTGAGGCACCGAGCGACGGAACTGGAGCACCAGGTGAAGGAACAGAAGGAGAAGATCTCCAGGCACCGCAGCCAGATAGAGCACCTGCATAAACTGAGACAGGAACAGGAGGAGACCATCAGCAAACTCAGGGTGAGGGGGTGGACAGGAATGATTTATAGCACTGGTCTAGAGCATTTATTTATTTATTTATTTATTTTTTTGGTGGGGGGGGAGAGGGGTCATTCCACAAAGACATGAATGTTTGAGTCCAATTTTGTATAATAGTTTCATTATTTTGACTTACCCAATAATTTTTTTTTCGCTGCTTTATACTGCAGTATGGAGAAAGAAATCAATGGTAATTAAGAAGTAATATAAAACAATTTTGCAAATATTGCACAGAATGTGTGGCTCATTGACATGATCACAATGTTCACTTTTCTTTCTTTCTTATTTATTTATTTTTTGTAAGTATGATGTTAATTGTAGAGGGAGATTAAAATTTTTATTTGCTTTTACTTAAAGTCAACAGAAGTGGAGTGTTTTAAAGCTTTGCTGGAAAATAATAGATGTTTATTGAAATTGAAATAAAAAAGGTAATGATTGCTGTATTTATGGTATGCTAATTGAAAATCAGTATTTTCATTTCTGCAAGTTTGTAAAGACTTTATAATTAATTTCAAACAGGTTATAGCAGATGAAGTAAAAGAACTAGAAAGGATGAGAGATGAATATGCGAAGAAAAATGAAGAACAGGTATTATGATCATATATTAGCAACTGAGATATTGCATATTCTTTGAATATTTCATTTAAAATTATAATGATGAAATTTTTAGTTACATTCAATTTGTCATATCATCATCTTCAAGATGGTGGCATTTGCACACTTGAATTTTATGTTAATTTTATAAATGGTTGACGTTTTTATATTGATGCCCACTTCATGCAAGAAGTTAACTAACATTTTGATAAATAAATAAATATATAAATGGATTTATTTATTTATTTATTTATTTATTTTTGAAGAAAAAAAATACTTTCATCTCATCAGGTCAATGTAGTCCAGAGTTTCATGTCCCAGATAGCCTCACTTCAGGCGGAGATCCGGGGTCTCTCTGAGGCTCAGCTGGAGACCAGCCAGGTACTGGAGGACCAGGAGTACAAGCTCCAGTCAGAGAGAAAGCAGAGAGAGGAACTACATAGGAAATACAGGGTAAGTACAAGCTCCAGTCAGAGAGAAAGCAGAGAGAGGAACTACATAGGAAATACAGGGTGAGTACAAGCTCCAGTCAGAGAGAAAGCAGAGAGAGGAACTACATAGGAAATACAGGGTAAGTACAAGCTTCAATCAGAGAGAAAGTAGAGAGAAGAACTACATAGAAAATACAGGGTGAGTACAAGCTTCAGTCAGAGAGAAAGCAGAGAGAGGAACTACATAGGAAATACAGGGTAAGTCTCCAATCAGATCGAAATCATAGAATGTGAATTTATTTTTTCTTTTTTTGTCAAGTTAACTGGACAATTCAAATAACTTGAAATCATAATATAGCATAACTAGCAGGATAATGTATTTTTTAAATCACGCATAATTCATTTTCTTATTTTAGGAAGCTCGGAAAAGGGAACAAGAACTTGAAGAACTGCGAAGGAAGACTGAAGAGAAACTGATGGAGGCCAACGACGAGTCTATGCAGATATCGCACAGCCTGCAGGATGCTCATGAGTGGTTCAAGTCCAAGTTTGAGAAGCTGCAATCTGAACTTGTGAAGTCCAGGTACACAAGCTATATATATTTAGTTTTTTTTCTTACTCTATCTTTGGATTTATGATATATGTCAGTAAGCATTTATAATTATGAAAATTAGGATGAGAGTTAATAAGAAATAGAAAATGTATGAATCACGTTATCTGTCAGTAGGCATTTATTATAATCATTGTGATTAGAGATGAGACTTAGAAATAAAAATAATTTTTTGGCCAATGAATGACAACCAAACTGGTGGCACTCCAACAAATACACCACTTCAGTCAATATTAGCAAAATGTTTCAATCCCAGGCAATCTCAGGCCCAGATGGAGCAGGCGGCCTTAGAACAGAGAATGATGGTGGAAGAGGAGAGGCAGAGGGCACAGGAGATTGCTGAGGAGGCTAGAAGGATGTTGAAGGTTAGTCTTTTTAGTTGATACTATTGTTTGTATTGGGGGGGGGGGGGCATGGAAGACTGTTGAGGAGGCTAGAAGGATGTTGAAGCTTACTCTTTGTAGATATAATTTGGGCATTATGCCAGTTATTCATCAGTTTCCATCTCCACTACAAGAGTGACTTAAAAATAAGAAAGTCAAAACAGGTTTACAGATATCATAGTTTTGATATAACTTTATGAAATGTGGGAAAATTGCTAAAATTTTCTGGATTTTTTTTTTCATCTAAAGGTCTAAGGACCCATTCTCAATGAATTTATCAACCTAGCTACTAACTCTACAGGGACTCTTGCTGAATGCAATGAGATTAACAGATTAACATGCCGCCTCCTGGCATTGACAAGAATACAGAAAAACTGGTGATTTTACGAGTATGTTAGAAACAAGAGGAGTCTGCTCATCTGAGTGCAATCAGAGAGAGATCCCACAGAGTTAGAGCACGGTAACTCTAGGCCAATAAATTCATTGTGAACAGGCCAAAATATGTTTATACAGTATGCCTTAAACAACTTTTGCCAAAGCCTATTCAGGGTTGGACCCAGCGATATTTTTTGACAGTCTTCCAAATTATCTTTGAATAAATCTGTCAAAAGACGGTCAAAAATGGAGGATGGATCATCATGATCCATCCTCCATTTTTGACCGTCTTTTGACAGAAAAAATAAGATGCTCATCAGTGTCAACTTGAAAAATTCTGACCGTCTTCTGGAAGACCCAGAAGATGGTTTCCGTTCGCCCCTGCTATTCTAGACTTGATTGGTTCTATTCTCTGTGTGTTCTCCAGGCCAGCAGGCAGACAGTGACCAAGCTGGCCGACTATGCCGAGATGGGGCAGCAGGAGACCAGGCAGGCCCTGGGCACCATGCAGGCACAACTCCAGGCAGAGAGGGACCATGCCAGATACATGGGCAGGAAATATAACCAGCTGAAGGTGTGTGTGTGTTTGTGTGTGTGTGAGAGAGAGAGAGAGAGAGAGAGAGAAAGATTATGTGAGAGAGAGAGAGGGTGAGAGAAGGGTGTTACTCTCTTTCTCTCTCTGTC